CTGCCCGAGAACCTCTCTTCTTGCTATCCATTTAATATTTCTTGCCTCAGAAGAGCAGCAACGATCAACACACCCTCACTCACTGCACTCATGTTTGCAAATGAAGAGATAGTTGCGTACAAGAATTGTGTAAGAAATTATTGTACGTGATGTTTACATCAAGAACAGTTTTGAAAGGAAACTTTTCCCATTGATCAAGAATGTTACGTTTTGTTTAGACCATGCAACTCATTTATTGCGTCGATATAATTGTATGCTACAGGCAAGAAAATTGCCTCGTGTAAATGGCGCTTTAGTGTCATCTTTTAATGTCTCATTTTCGTCACACAAAATTTGTATTTGAAATTATACTGTTTGTTGTTTGGTTTACCCTGTTATTTGGTTTTACCCAATCTCGACTAATTATCAGTTTCATGCCGCAAATTTTTAAAATTTTCACTTATAATACCACAAGAGCTTCAAAATTATCGGGTATTTCCCGATAGGTTCGTTGCAAACAAATGCAGGAGTCAAGTTTTCAGGTTAAAAAAACTCGCGCTTCGCGCTCGTGATTTTTTAACCTGAAAAAGATTGGATTTGTTTGTTAGCAGGGAACCTTGAGGGGAAATGCCAGATAATTTTGAAGCTCGTGTTTCGAGGAGTTATTTTTCCGACCCAAATGTCGGCCAATAGAATTGCACCATGAGACGAAATGTACAGTTAACAAATAAGAATTTCATAATGAATAAAACTGAAAACAACTACTTAATACTTTTCTTGAAGCAACTACCAGAGAAAATTTTCAAAAAATTATCAGTATAATACCATGTAGGTTGTACCACGTGACGTCGAATGGTGCAATTCTATTGGTCGATATTTGGGTCGGAAAAATAATCTCGAAAATTAACCAAATTGTAATTGCAATTTTTTAATAACGTAATGAGCTTTTTACTTAAAACTTACCATGCGTTCAATATGTTAAGGTGAAGTAGCAAATAAAAGACCATACCGTATCCTGAGTACGAAGCCTCTGTACGAAGTCTGGATTGCACACGCAGTAGCGCCTTGCGAATGCCTCTACCAGCCTCTCGATCTTTTGTGCCTCCCCTGGCAAACGGAAATGCGCCTGATACCTGCGCAGTGCCACGTCTACCGCCATACCGGATAGATCCAGCTCGTTTACGAAACATCTAGAAAATTAAGAAAATTTGCGTATCTAATTTCGTCATCGAGTATGGGGCAACTTCTTTATCGGCCTTTTCTGACTGAAAAATGTTATCTGTTCAACAGCAAGAGCAAGCGTTCAATTAATAAACGAATATATTTCTTTTTGTATGGACCAAACCTCAGTTAGAGAACACTAACACTGCTATTTGATTTGAAACAAAGTGCTTCAAAAAGTCTCACAAATAAACAAAACAATTTTTTTTAATATACTCACTCTAACGCAGCCATGTTGAACTGGTTCTGCAGGTTTCCAAGATATTCTCCAATCATCTGCTTGCTTAACCCTTTCCTGGTGATAAGGAATCTTGCTACTCCTCTTGGAGAGTTCTCCAGGAACCCGCGTGAGATCAAATAGCCAATACCACGTTCCGGCTTTTTGTTGAATAGATTTAAACCCACGCGATACTGACGTTTACGTACAGTTTCTGATACCTAAAAAACAATTTAACGCGTAAAGATGAGGTGCTATCCGGCCCGAAGGACCATCTACTAAATATGAACAATATGGTTTATTGAAATATGGAAAAATATATTGGATTTATTTTTCTAACAAAAAATTAATAGTGGCCCGGCAAAGAGTCAATATGTAGTGATGTTTAGTAATTACCTTCAAAGGCTGTTGATGGGTATGCTGATGCTCATGCTGAGGTCGACAACAGGCAGCGGCAGGCGGGGCTTCATAGTAGGGCGGAGCGTCCTGTCTTTTCCAGACATTGAACCTGTCAGCTTCATAGAGCGTACCAGACGCAGTACGAGTGTGCTGGAACTGCGGTTCTTGGATGTGGATGTGGGGCTCCTAGAAAAATATAATTAATATAGAAAATTTGCTAGTAAAAGTTATTAGGAAATATTAGTCCATACGGTCCAGATATTTTGTGAGAAAAGAAAGATGTGAGAAAATTTAAAAAAAAATGATGAGGATTCTATTTAAAGACCTATTTTAAGTTAGCATATCTTTTCATAATGATACAATAATAGTCAGTTGAAGCTATCATTCAATATGGTCGTATAGTATGTATTGGTTTTTCAATTAAAAAATACCTGTTGCCTAGGTTGGTACACCTGATGGTAATGCCTGTGCTCCTGAGACGATGACGATGACGAGGACTGTACGGAGGACATAGACCCCCCTCTCACCACCGCACCCCCGCACTCCGCTCTTCGGAGCGACACGGGGCTTTCCGCACTGAGGACAAAAGTATGTAATTAGTAACATATACGTATATCCCTCCTTGTATAAGTGGCTTCTTAGATTTGGCTGGTAGACTTGACCTATATGAACAAGAAAATAAATTCGTAATTTTTGGTTTACAAGTAATGAAACATTCGTCAATAATATTTACTTAAAACAATTTTAGCAGTTTAACTTACTTGAGTGTAATACTACTTGTCCGTTTTGGCACTTCCGGCGGATGTCGTCTCGCATTTGCCGCCTGGATTGCGGCTAGCTGCTGCTGTTGCCGCGCTGTTGGGGACGACAGTGGTTTACCACCGGAGGACAGTAGGTTCCCGTATATTGGACCTGAGGAATGCGAATATTTTATTTTAGAGGAATTAGTTTTCTGTGTGTGTTTTTGTATGTATTGTATTATGTGTATTTGTGAGTTCAGAATAATGGAAAAAAATATCAAAACAATTGAGGTGTGAAAATTTGTGCAAATCTACAGTACCTACTGTACTGTACTGTATTTAACCGACTACAAAAAGGAAGAAAGTTTGTGAGTATGTGATTTTGAAAAATGTATGGTAATTTCTTAAAATTACTTTTCTTATTTTGGACATGGAGGTCCAAACCCATAAAGATATAATCAATTAAGCCTCTGAAACGTGCCCCATTAAAGCACTTAAATTCGTAATTAATGAATAAAAAAACGTACCTGAGTTATTCAACAATTGATGGTTGTGTAGAGATTCGTTATGTGATGAGGATGTCGATATGTTTGTCACTGAACCGCTCACGGAACAGCTGCACACCTGAAGAAAATATTTATTTATTACACATATAACAACATAGGTAAGATGGAGCTTGTGTAGACATTTGCAGCGCGCACTACCCATTTTCTTATCCAGATGGAATATGGTCAAATCCAAAAGAACTGGTCAAAAAGGTAGAGAGATGGGCTGACGAGATTGAAAGTAGGTAGAAAAAGTTGGATTCTAACGGCAATTGATAGAATAGCCTTCTTGAAGTGGGACCGTATCTTAGAATAATATATAAATTAGATGTGGATAAATAAAGACTTATTATTTCAACACTTAAAATAACAAAAAAAATATTCTCTTTCCGACACAAAGTTAACACAATTTAACAGAAAGACGATGAAATAGCATATATACAAGTGTTATACTGATTTAGTATATTGTATAAGAGGGATAGAATATATAGAAGAATGTAATTAAAAGTAAAACAAAAAATATTAAGGCTAAAAACATTAAAAGAAGACACTTTATCGCTTAAAACGTCTCTAAGCTATCCTATCTTTTACCTTCCAAATAGAAAGATGTACAGAGTAACTCTACTTTCTGTATTTCTTATACACGAAATCTATCAAGATTTCGTATTAATACAAAATTCAAGAAGTTCAAATCTGTTTATTTTAGACCATATAGTAACTAAAATTATATGTATACAATGTTTAAGTGTGCGTGTGAATGTGTAATATTCTAATATATAATAACATGCATTAAATCCTGCACTTCTGTGTAAGTTAAGTTTTGCAGCTGTATAATTGTTGCTACAACCTACGCAGTCTAAGCCGGTAAATATTAATTTAACTTTATTTTACAATATAACCTTTTGCGTTACAAAGTGTTTTTCTAATACTTCTAATAGAAAAAGTATCAACTAAATATTAATCCCTTTTTTTAGAAAGTTATTATATATTACAAGCTGACCCAGCAACATTTTTTTAGTTCTATAAAAATAACTATCAACTATAATAAAATATAGGGGTTGATCGTAGAGGGGTGAAAATTAAGTATGTATTTTTGTATGGCACATTAACAAAAAAATTAAATTAAAATTTCGTCCAAAAAATAAAAATAAAATGTTAGGGGTGGACAACTCTTATCACTTAGGGGCATGAAAAATAGATAGTAGCCGATTCTCAGACCTACGGAATATGCATATAAAATTTGATAAATGTGCTTCCTCAACAGTGTATGTAGAACGTTAAGCTGACGTATGGTGAGATTGTCATTTATGGAATATAGTTCTGGAAATTTGTGTCACTTTCAACTGTTATTTTTAGTATCATATATATGTTACGTAGAACTGCATAAATACTTCCATTTATAAAATGTAGATTAATTTGAAATATAATTAGCGATGTTCTTAATGTACACCATTAACGTAAAATTATCTAGAGAATTTGCTTTTATAAACATTCTTTGCGATTCTTATCTCTTATCATCATAGTAAATCATCAAATTACTCACAAAAATTTGTAATATATGAACTATATTTTGCCTTACTAATACTTAATAATAAATTAATGTTTTTAAACATAAAAATACGACTTTGAATACATAAATTAAAGTTCGCCGTTTATTGATATTGAACGGTAATGCTATTTTATTGTTTGTAATGTAAAATACTTTTTAATACCATATAAAATTTAATACTGTAATTATTGTAAGAGAGGTTATATTTTTTATCTTGTAAAGGACTCCCTGACGTAATTTAGGGATTTTTCATTCAAATTTTGGGACAGAACTTGCTATAGATTAAGATGTTATTGTATTTCTATTTGCCTTTATTGATTCATTGTCAGGGTCCGATTTTCGAACCTTTTCACATACTAAAAAGGTATTGAAGTTTGACATACAGAGTCATAATTAGTGTTAAGAGACTTAACGTAAATACCTAAATAAATATTATTACATAAAATAATTAAATAAGTGGCGCTACAACCTTTTAGGTCAGGGCCTCAGATGTCTGTATCTGTTTCATGATCATTTATCAATCTAATAGGCAAGTAGGTGATCAGCCACCTGTGCTTGACGCACGCCGTCGACTTTTTGGGTCTAAGGCAAGCCGGTTTCGTCACGATGTATTCCTTTACCGTTTGAGCGAAAGTTAAATGCGCAGATGGAAAGAAAGTCCATTGACGCACAGCCGGGGAACGAACCTACGACCTCAGTGATGAGAGTGGCACGCTGAAGCCACTAGGCCAACACTGCTTTTATTACAAAGTACTTATTTTATCGTCTGCGAGAAATCGAATAAAAGTAGTTTTTATGAGTAAAATGATCATAAAGTTTATCTTTTATGTGATATAATAGAAAAAAGTGTATTTCATCAATACATAGATTAAAAATGAACCCCTACATACTCAACGTACACAAAAAAAACACATACTAACATCAAACTGTGACTTTCCACACCACAACGGAACCCGTCCACTTTTCAAGAACCAAAAATGTTTATTTCTAACTATTTTCTTTATCAAAATTTTATTTCTATACGGCTCCATAATCACTGTTAAACGTTATAACTGTACAACGATACTATTATTACTGATAATGACCGTATGAATTTAAGAGATGACGCTGGTAAAAGTGTAGAGGAAATTACGCTTTATTACTTGACGATAAAGGTCAAAGCTGTGTAAAGTTACGAAACATCAAGTTACTGAGTGATACGGTAATTACGTAGACAAATATTTGCATCCGCGTTCACAAATTAATGAAAATAGGCATTGTTTAATATATATATATATATTATAATTAAAATTCTACCTGTTAAGACAAATTTGCAAGCTATAGTATGTGGCAGAATATGTGAAGTTTAGATTGTACCAACATAAGATTTTTGTACTAGATTCTAGCAATGAACGACTAGTGACGGAAATTGACGACTCATTGGTCTAGTGGTTACTACCCCTGACTGCGAATCCATGGGTCCCGGGTTCGATCCCCGGCTGAGACGAACATCGATGTGATGAGCATTTGGTGTTGTGCTTAGGTCTTGGGTGTTTAAATATGCATTTATATGTCTATCTATCTATAATATGTATGTATATCCGTTGCCTAGTACCCATAACACAAGCTTCACCAGCTTAGCATGGGACTAGGTCAATTGGTGTGAATTGCCTTTAAAAAAAAAAATTATTATTATTATAATATAACGGTTCTTTGGGGTTCTTAATAAGCTGTAAATTACGCGCAATAACGGAATTACAATTAGCGTCTTTCGATACGCGGAATTAGGTTAGCGAGAGATAACGTAGTGTCAAGAAATAAGGATTTAGTTTAATTTTTAAAGGTTCCGTTTTACATATTATTTATTTATAGGAATCTTAATTTTCTAACAATCAATATAAAAAAAAGGTTTCATTCATCGTAATTTACTTTTTCTTTTGAGAATTAAGCGTCTTCTATGTATTTGTAATTTTGTAATTAATAGAAAAATTTACCAATTATATTGTCAAAAAAATCAGTACAACTATTTAGGTCTGACCCTCAGAGGCAAGTAGGTAGGCCTTCTGTGCCTGACACACGCCGTTCACTATGTCCCTAAGGTATGCCAGTTTCCTCACGATGTTTTCCTTTACCGTGCGAGCGAGTGTTAAATTCGCATATTCGACATAGTCCATTGATGTACAGCTGGGATTCGAACCTACGACATCAGGGATGAATGTCGCACGCTGATACCACTAGTTTATATTGCATAGCGCATATTGTAACTATCGATAAATAATTTCTTTTTTACAAAAAAATGTTACAAAATTGAAACAATTAAAAAAACATTTACTTACTCCGCTATCTGCGTCTCCCCTGTGCGGTATTTCACTTGCGATCATGTGTATCTGATGCGCCGACTGCTGGACCCTAGCCACCATCGCATCAACATCGTTCGAGTCACAGCCGATGTGGTTTCTGGAATTATAAAAGCAATTAAAATAAGCAAAGTTTCTATTTAATTATACTACAACACACAAGGTTGTACATTTTACTCACTAAGACTTTCGTAGTTTTATAAGCGTGGCGATTGCCTAAATCGTCGGAGTAACGCCCCAAAGTATAGCCAAACGCAGGCTCTCTTCAGCATTTTATTTAAGTAAGAGTGAAAATAATATTCTCTATCAAACCATTAATTACAGTATATTAAATATTAAACTGAAAAATATTTATAACTTATAACACGTCGTTCAAAAGACGTCCCTTATCATTCTATAAAAATATTTCTTTAAAGTTTCACTTCCCCAATTTTGTACTACTACTAATTTACATAAATATTTAATTTATATATATATAAATAAGCTGAGAATGCAATAAGGAAACACCAGGATTTTTTATAATTTAGATAACTTATTAAACTTAAAACTTATTATACATTATCAAATTTAGATAATACATATAGTATACGTAGAATCTTAATCTTAACTATTTATAAAAATCGAATGAGGTTTCCAATTTGATATGAAACGAACTACTGGTCTAAGATCCCGCTGCAGGATTGGTGCGCTCATCGACTATTTGTTTAAAACCAAATTTTTATGTTTATTTATAATTAAGAGAATATATATTTACAAGGGTGCCTATCAAAATTTGGCCGCCATTATTTTTAATTAAATTATTTTTAATTGATTTTTGGTAAAAAATTGCGTTCATTTATTATTTAAATAAAATAACGTCTACATCACGGTAATTAATATGAAGATTCTAAAAAATCACGGGTGCCGTTGCGCACATGGCCGCACCTCTTTGCAGCCAGGTGTAAACAGGTATGATTTCGATAAATTTATACGTTTATAACCTATTTTTATTAATTATATGTCAAATTGAAGCAAATTTTTTTCTATTAATTATCATATAAAGTTGCTTAATTAAATCTGGCCGCAAATAAGGGCTACTGGCTGTTAAAGATAATAAATATTTAAGGTAGAGTGAAAGAGAGTTAGCGCGTAACATCATTTGTCAGACGAGGACAGCGATTGTCGGCTGTGCGACGCTTTTAAGCCATTGCGCATGCGTCGAACGTTAGTGTTCTCAACCACCGGGGAGTAATAGAGACGACTTATAATAAATACTCCAAAAAATATGTAATTTTTTTCAAAATGACAAATTTAAAAATTGCAACAAAAAATTAATATTGATTTGATATATCGACGGTCTAGTTAGCAATTTGTCTAACTCCTTATTTTTTACAGGGTGATTTTTTTAACACTTTGATGAAGACATAATCCAATTACAAATTATTTGAATGATTCAAACTTAAAAATTATATCTCTATTAGATATTAATGATATTAAATGGTTTTTTAAAATGATAATAAATTTTGAAGTCATTGTTTTTTTCGTACAAATAAAAGATTCTCTAAAATGGAGTTAGATAATTTGCTAATTAGAACGTCGATATTTAATATTAATTTAAAAAATAAAACCAAGGTGACTTAAGTAAAAGAAAATTTTATTGCGAAAGTATTATTTAAAAATTTTATTAGATTTTATTCAAGTAATTGATTGTCTATTACATATTAATTAAACATTTAAGCAAATTAAAAAAATTAATCTTATAACTCTTATATTTCCGTAACTCTTATTTAAAAATCTGAATCATCGGAGCTTTCTGTTGTACTATCATCGGAGCTATCACTTTCATCGCTACAAATATCAGAATCGTCGTTATCGGTAGCTTTGTTCATGGATTCACATAGCACACTATTAACTTGCGTTGGAGATGAGTCTCCCAGGAACCATGTTGGTTTTAAAAAACCATCTAGTACCAGCCAGCCATTCTGGGCTGAATTTGTTGCAATTTTTAAATTTGTCATTTTGAAAATAAAATTACATATTTTTTGGAGTATTTATTATAAGTCGTCTCTATTACTCCCCGGTGGTTGAGAACACTAACGTTCGACGCATGCGCAATGGCTTAAAAGCGTCGCACAGCCGACAATCGCTGTCCTCGTCTGACAAATGATGTTACGCGCTAACTCTCTTTCACTCTACCTTAAATATTTATTATCTTTAACAGCCAGTAGCCCTTATTTGCGGCCAGATTTAATTAAGCAACTTTATATGATAATTAATAGAAAAAAATTTGCTTCAATTTGACATATAATTAATAAAAATAGGTTATAAACGTATAAATTTATCGAAATCATACCTGTTTACACCTGGCTGCAAAGAGGTGCGGCCATGTGCGCAACGGCACCCGTGATTTTTTAGAATCTTCATATTAATTACCGTGATGTAGACGTCATTTTATTTAAATAATAAATGAACGCAATTTTTTACCAAAAATCAATTAAAAATAATTTAATTAAAAATAATGGCGGCCAAATTTTGATAGGCACCCTAGTAAATATATATTCTCTTAATTATAAATAAACATAAAAATTTGGTTTTAAACAAATAGTCGATGAGCGCACCAATCCTGCAGCGGGATCTCGTACTATACATTATCTTTGAGTAAACTGACAAAAAGTCTGCTTCATGTCAGTTCCTATACTGTAAGAAATAATAAGTCTTTTTGTATATATTTAAAACTGAATCTTGATTTTTCTATGTGTATGTATTTGTGATATAGATGTTAACAGAGTAGACAGTAGTTTTTTTTTTTTTTTTCGCCGGAATATTTTACGTCATTTACACTTGGTCAAAGTAGTAGATCTACTTACCCCAAGTCGACATCATGTCTCTCCCGTAGTGACATGGACCGCATTGGCCTGGTGAGCGCCAGAGATTTCTCCACACCCGCCGGGCTCTTTTGTAGCATTGTATTCGCGTAGATATCGTTGCCTAAAAATGTAATTATGATTAATTATTGATATGGTAGATAGTACCGGTGACAAAGCTGGTGTTTTCCTCGCTCAACCAATAAGTATAGCAATACAGCGAGTAAATACTGCCAGCCCTGCGATTTTGTAACTCACTTTTAAAAACAAAGGTACACTGCCACAGGGACCATTTTTATAATTATTATTATTACTATGTAGGTTAAGAATATTGTAAATACTGTATATATTTGTGTGTTGTTAATAAATATTAATAATGATAAATGGAGAGAGCTATATGACGGCCAGTATATAGGCCATAATAATAAGTTATGCCTAACTTATTACGGACCGTTTCTTATACGAGCTGTTAATTGTAATACGACAACCGAACCATTGAAGAGTTGGTGATCTAGATAATTGAAAAGTTTGGACAGAATTAAAATAAATCTCGTTATGTTTTTAAAATTATATTAAATAAACAAAATTAAGGACCATATCAAAAAACTCGAACCTAGTAACATATGCGAAACCATTTTTTCAAAAAACAATAATTATAAAGATATTTAACTCACCGTTAATCATCAAATGATCGCCATCCTGCATTCGTCGAGCATTCGAATCGGCCGCCTTAGCCATAGCAGTAATAGCGCTGAATTTCTTTAGAAGCTGCCGCCTTCTAAACGCGCGTTGGATCGTCACCGCGGCTCTGCGCGCGCGCAACCCACCGTATCGTCTCTCCAATATCTCAACTTGCTTGTCCAACAAATCTTGTGACATTTCATACCGACTGAAATTGTAATTAGACTTTTATAACTTTGTTTTGTCGTGTATTAGTCGTAATGTTAGTGAATCCATTATTACGTGAAGTCGATGAAGGATGGTCAGATTAAGGGTAACATTCAGAATCGAGACTTATAGCTTATGACACTCGGGTGTAATAAGTCCCGACTCTGGATCTAAGGGTCAGATACACCGTAAAGTAAACAGTGTCTTCACAAATAAAATAAACACTTCTTAACTGATATAAACACGAATTTATTACATTTTTTACACAGCCTGATCTTTGCGCTTCACACACAGTCAGTATGCAATAAATTCTTTTATTTACGTTAATAATTGTTTTTAATATGTCAGTAAATTCAATATAAAAGTGTAAGGCCGAATACAGTATGAAGAAGACGCTAAGGAACGAGCAGAACTTGTCATATATACTAACAGCGGAGTGAGATTTGCAGATGGATTAAGGCAAATGTTGAAGAATGAAGTATGTAAGGAATTAATTTGACACCCTCAAGATATTTAACTATTATTTTCTGTTAACATTTCATCTATACGAGATAATGAAATAGCAATTATTAAATGTCACAAAAATTATTCATTACAAAATAAAACTTTTAAATAATAAATTTTTAGCTGTGGGAAACCGGGATTCCATCAGTTTGAATAGTTACAGTATTTTGTATGTATTTTTTCTTTGAATTGAATTGCGAATTTCATGCATGTTAATATCCAACAGTATTAATTCAAAATGCACTGCGTTTATCAATTGTTATTGATAAGCATTTGATATGTATTTAGTACCATTTAATGTAAAGATTTTATTGAAGTCATCTGTTCTTCACAAGAGATGTTCACTATATGTCTTTTGAGCTTAAACTTTTCATTACTGACAAAAAAAATTAAAACTATATTGTTTTTAAATAAACTTTGAAATTAATTTTAGTGCGTTTGATCTTTAATTTTACGTTTCAAGGATAGCCGATTCGTATAGCAAGAAAGATAAGTTATCTAATACAAGTGAATAACAAGGATGACTCATGATTTGCATAGGTTAACTAATTGGCGTTATGTATTGTTTTCATGCTGTGCTGCGTATGAATTCGCGAATGTCAAGACATGTCGGCTGTATTAAAATCTCGCAATCCTTCAGTGGTGTTTGGGGCTTACATTTCTCCGTATTAATTTTTTAGATACTAAACTATGTTATTCGTTTGCATACATAATTATTGTAGTGTACGCTAAATAAAAACCACCCCTTCTAAAAAATCACTATTGTGAAGACTATTGCTTAATAAAGCTTTAATGTTGTATATTATAAAGACGTAGATCAATCATAATAATTACTGTTGGACCACAACCAAAACACTATTTGGATATTTTTTCATAAAACAGTAGATGTTTTATATATCCCTATATTCCAACTAAACATAAGTAAACACTTCAGTAATTTCTGGAATTATTGACGTTGACGAATCAAAACTATAGTAATCAGCTATAGCATAACATTTTCTACCATAAAAAAATACATATAGATTCTATAAAAATTCATTGTATTATACATTCTTTAAACTGTCCTATTAATTAAAATCTAATTGCATTAATGCAATTGTTTCATTTCATCACAGCGTTAAAACAATTTGATAGAAAGAGACGGAAGACGTTAACTAAAAGAGTGCAATTAAACTGATTAAATGTCTTTATCGTTCAAATTCATTCAAGTAATAAACTTCCAAAACACGAAGGAATTCCACAATTCGATGTGTTACTAATCAATTACCTATATCTCTAGGGTCTAATTAGTCTCAATAGTAATATAATATACTATAAATAACCTATACTTTTCGCAACTCCTTATCAATTCCTCTTTCTTATTAGACCTAAAAGCCGCTATGTCTTGACATCTGAACATCATACATTGAATGCAGGTTAGACTCGAACACAAGGGAAGGTTTATTCAATGGCGTCTACCATTCGAGTAGGATAGGTCTGCATTCCTTTAACATACCCTCGGGTAAGTTTCCCCCTTTTTTTGGGGTAAACTGGAATCTTTTTGCGCTATCCCAGTACTGCCAATGATTCCCACGTCTGTGCCACGCCTATGGAAGGAACTCAATTGTCAAATCAGGTAACATTTTTCCCATTTAAACATTTTTGTTTTAAAATATATGAAAAATGAACCTTTAATTTTTTATATTTAAAATATATTATTAAATTCTATAAATTCCACGATTAGTTTAAAATCCCTGTACACTGAATAAAAAACCTATTTTTACATAACTATGTACCTGTTGGTATGAACAGCCAATCCGAAGCCCTCTGGCGGCGCGGCGATATAAAGCGGCGGCGCCGGTTCCGCTGCGCCCGCGCACAGCCCTGCACCGGTCGACGCATTCGAGGCAGACGAGCATGACGAGTTTGAATGGTTTAGAGCTGAAATAAATATTCTATAATAAGTATCTCAAATCATCAATCAAATAACAGGACTATTAGCATGAATCAATGTTGACTTTATACTGACATTTATTGCACAGTTTATGCAATATGTCCATTAATTAACATTTAAAATTGCATTAATATCTCGCAGTTGAAATATAACTTAGTATAATAGCAATGTAAATCTGTAATTAACCTGACTTGCAAATTTCCTACACGTTATTGTAAAAACAAACAAGTATAATTAAATTCTCATTACCACTGTTTATTCTATTGTATGTAAAATTCGTTGTGTATTTGAGATGAACGTTTTATCATAAATTAGTAGCTTTTAATCAAACTTTCTGAGACGGCATATTATACAATATAGCTGTTTGGATATGCCCGGGTTTTAATTTACAAAACGAAGGCTATTTTATAGTATGAAAAATAAAAAGCTATTTAGAGTATAATTCGTAATGGCTTCTTGCATATTATAGGCCTAATCTTCTAATATATAAAATTCTCGTTCCCATACTCCTCCGAAACAGCTCGACCGATTCTTATGAGATTTTTAGCTACTATCTATCTTACAAACCCCTAAGTGATAAGGTCCACCCCTCAATATTTATTTTTATTTTTTGGACAACATTTTTTGTTTTTATTTTTTTATGATACCACATTCAAAAATACATACAACCCTTAATTTTCATCTACCCTCTACGTTCAACTCTTATTTTTTATTTGTTAGTTAAGAACTTATGACTTGAACTCAGAGGTTTATATAGAGAAAACCCTAAAAGTTTTCTCTCAGAAGAACAGTCTCTGGGAATAGCAAAATGTTTCAAGTTAGTATGTACTAAAAAGGTAGGCTAGGCATTAAGGAGAAACGAAGCCAGAGTGCGAGCTAGTAAGTATATAAACAAATAGAAATATCAGCCTCAGTTAAAAAAACACATAAAATTTACCTATTGCATTAACAAATTCGTATCCAATCGCTGAAAAGGTGCCCCTATAAACGTCACGAGCATAAAGCTATCGCTCCTTTCCGAGTAACAGTCGTATAGAGTATACGGGCTTGGAAAAAGAGAAAATTCATCAGGATATTTCGCAATTTTCCGTGTAAACGAATTATAAAGTGGATGAAATTCAAATAACTAAGTTACCGTCCCGCTCAATAATACGTATGTATATATACTTAATATATTTTTGTAATACATTGTCTTCACTGAGATATCATGGAACATTACGATCTAGCCTTACAGATTAAGTAATTTAAAACTAATCTAATTTACTAAAAAGGATATTAAACATTAGAAAGTGTCCAATAACACTACTTACAGTCTCTATTAAGAGAAAGACACTTTATTCTTGTGTACTATTTTTACTTAATAATAACGTAGGTATTTCCTTCATAATCATTAAAAGAACCTGTAGAATGAATCGCTTGGGATGAGTTTCCATACAAAAACATTTTTTTTTACACTACTTAAAAAAATTAGATCAGTTAATAATACATTTTAAGATAGCGCCTTTGGGGATTGAAATTTGTCAATATAGACTGATGTAATATAACGTATAAAGCGGACCTCAACAATGATGAATACAAGAAATTCAGTTGTATATTGTTGATTGCTCTTAGGTCTTCAGAAACAGAAATATGGTATATTTTTAATTTGTGTGTGTGTGTGTACTCACCAGGCATAGGTCGATGAACTGCTGTAACATATCTGTTGCCTTCCATGTAACCGCGGTCAGGCTCCGCGTTGTGCGCATGGTGTCCGCTGTGAATATTGTGCTGGTGGGAGTAGAACCCATCCGGGGGGTGAAGGGTCACCCCGCCGCTGTTCTCCTCCTCGTCGACCTTCTGGGAGAAGCTGGAACAAGAAAAGATAATATTATTGACTATGCAGAGTACGAAATGTAAGGCGCTAGTTTTAATATTTATTTGTGAAAATGATCATTTCTCTCCGATAAAAATTATTTCTTGTTTGAATGAAACATTACGCTAGTTTAGGTTATATAATATTTACATATTTGTGCCAATATAAAGCAGAAATTGAGTTATATTAATTTTAACAACTTTCGTTGTGGGTTTTAACCATTTTATGACTGCTTTATTATTTATAGTAAGTAGCCTCTCGTACCCCGAAACATGAAAGTCTTACTTTTTCACAAGGAATTGAAATCTGGTTCCCGCAAAGCATTGAACGCAACGTAAAAACAACGGAGGCGTTAATACTTTATTTGATTAAGAAATAACATTTTGTTTAAACAAATCCCAACTTGTTTTGTTCCTCATTTTGATCAAAATAATTATTTTAGTAGGCGGAAAGACTTTCAATCATTGTTCTCTCTTGGGGATATCTCATAAGAGATGTGTGATAATTAATGACCCAGACTTGGGTCGTGTCGATAGATATAAGTAATTACTTTCAACGAATACATGTTTAACTTAAAAACAAATTGTGATTGGAATATACATATTGGACAAAACTAATATACAAGTGTCTGTCAATCTGTTTCCTGTGTATATTGAAATTTAAAATTTTGTTGAGTAAGTTGTAACGTATTTATTATGAAACACAGGTTCTAATATTTGGAATTATGACTGAATAACAACTACGTATTAGGAACTCCGACCATCTGCCAGGCAAAACTATTAAAAATCGGGTGTACCCCGTGGTTTCATCCGCGTTATATCAGTCATTCTGATAGGTCGTTAACTTCACTACCTACCCAAAAATCAGTTCTAACCAGTACTTCCTGAGATTATTTTAACTAAACAAATAAACTAGTAAACATATATCTTCGATTTTCTTATTTGGTGATTACGTCAACAGTAATTATTTACTTTTCTACACATATTACCCAATGTCTATTCTTGAAAACGAAATGCATTTTCAAGGATTCCTATAAAACATGTAAACACGTGTATGTACTATTATTTTCGAGAGCTTTGCTTACTTTTGCTGACAAGAGGGGGGGGAGTACATTGCAGTAAATCTGCTTACGAAATACTTGAACGGCCCCGATAATTAAGACATGTTTTGGTATATGAGTGTCCAAACAATAATAGTACGAAAAATACATGTTTGTTTTTATAAGACATTTCTGTTTGTTCTATCCCAGGAATACGGGTCACCATTAATTTGGTCCATTGTTATATATAATTGCGTCCTCATTATTTATTAAAACACTAGGACAGAGAACTAAACCCAACCGGTTTGAATGTGGGCTAGGTCAAGCTTTTATACTAACGAGAATTTAAGCTCCGCTGAGTGATTAAAAATAATTATTTCATACATATTGCTCTTCTCAACATGTTATGCATATCACATTAATGTAATGGTACACTTGACCGATATTTATAATGTTAAGTATAACAATATTTCTTATTTTATTAATATATCCCGTAAATTCCTTAAAAGGGCAAATATATTTCTGCGTTTGATATATGATTTTTCTATATAGTAAGAACTACCCTAACACGTCGAATGTTGGGGTTAAGACAAGAAAATTTCTTCACCATCAGTACGTTGTATATAAAGTAAATTTGGTATACACATCCGAATTTAAAAATCACACATTAAAGCTAAAACTAATTTGTAAAGTTCTTAAAAATCGGATTCAAAAAGCTGTCGGACAACAAGACAAATCAAAAGGATATGCGAGAACATAGATAATAACTCTCTCTACTCTATTCGCAACGATAAAGACTAATTTTCTTAATTAATAAAAAATTAAAAGCCTTTATAGCGTGGGAGAGTATTTACAGACAATAAATTTTGACAACAATTATAAGTAACTTACCTAATATAACATAACATAATGTGACATCATGATAATTAATATGAAATTAATTATCATATTTATATATTGGCTGATTGTGCGGTTTTTTTATAATTAATCAATCATACCACCATTTTACGTAGGTACCATTTTTTTTTAAATAAACGTTTTATTATTATTAATTATAATCTAGTACATATCAGGTGTAAACACGATGCCTGAAAATTATTTTAATGATGAAGATGATTCATAAGTAAGTGAACATCAACACTGGGTATACACAATTACACATGCATAAAAAGATTACGATTATCTTTGTATCAATTTGTGTGATTTATGAACAATGAAACGCGGTTTTATTTCCGGTAACCGATAAACAAAAACTGAAATATCTGAGATAATTTGCGATATCAATAATCCTCGTTACACTAGTAAAACAAAAATATGTGTCTATTGCAAGATAATATTCCGTAAAATGAGGCTTGAGACTTGAGCGACTTTCATCCGTGAGGTCGTAGGTTCGAAACCCTGTGCGCCAAAAGACTTTCTATGCTCATTTAACTTTCGCTCGTACGTTGAAGGAAAATATCGTGAGGAAACCGTTCGACGGCGCGTGTGTGTTCGTCTACTTAAAAAAACAAATGAGGTTTTGTACCCAAAAAGGTTGTAGTAGTGTAATATGCCGCCAAAAGCTATAGCGGCAAATCTGGACTTGTTGAAATTATTTGCTGGTTGGACGGTAATATTTGGAGACTCTAACAGCGTAACCAAATAACAATAAAGTTAGCGTTGGCCTAGCGATGTATTCGGCTTCATGTTGTAATAGTCCAATTGGTGACCCTCTGGTAACCGTGGAAAAAAAACGAAGAAGTCGGACTTTGGACATGTTAAACTACGCCGACAAACACATGTACGCGATGTATAGTGTAAATAGCACATTAGCGAAAATATTTTAAGTAAATAACCTATGGTCAATAGATCATTAGTAATATTATATACATACATATATTATGTAAGTATTTTGCACTAATTCCCCTTAATAGCGGGTTCTTTGTTAATAAAATCAATGTAATAAATACATGAATCCTCAATATGGAGCAACCAAATATTACAAGGAATTCTTCGCAGATAAATTTATCAGGACCTATATCTTTTATCTCTGGAGATATCACGATTTCTATCGCAATGCTTGCGCAGTGAAAATATCTGGGACGGAGACACTCGAATCAGGACGTGAGACGATATTTTAAAATATGCCATTAAATTATGCAAAATTTCAGATTTATCTCCTGTCCATACTAACTTTATAGAACTTCTACGTAAAATACGGAATTGTCTATATGAACGAGTTAGTCACAATCACATCAGTAACTTAATGTTTAATACTGGTACTATATTCGATTCCGAGCGGAATAACAGTTTCGTGTAGGTGAGCGTTCCATTACTTGCCTTTATAATGAATGAATGAGTTGCAGAGCATGTATGCTATAATAATAATAATAATAATAATAAATACGTAATCCAATTGATATGTTTTCAAAACAGACACAAAAACCACACAAAAAGACTATTTATAGAAATTAGAAATGATAAAAACATATTACAATTGGCATGTTGATGTTGACTTGAAACTCGACTTCAGTAGGTCTTCAGATATTATCTTTGAGAGCCTTCAAGTGTTGTTCAAATGACAATAAAAGTTTTATAAATACACAAGAAGAAAAGAAAATTGCAGTGGTTTTATTTAAATTGGTTTTATTATATTAAGTTTATATTCTAATTTCACCTAGATTTTGTATAATTTTCCGTATATCTCAACAAAGGGGGAAAAGGAACATTTGGTAAACATTTACTTTTACAAACATTTAAATTACCATTATAAAAATTTAAATTGTATATATTTGTAAAGAAATAATTATGACTTTTTGACTGTTAATATCTGTTATATGTCAAAACTGACGTTTTATTTCATTGTAATATTGAGAGTATGTTAGTCTGAAATATAATAACAAACTCAAAATGTTGTTTCTATAATAATTTCAAGTAATTGCTAATTATTCATTAGTTTACGTATCTTCTCAGTTCTCATATATAATTAGTTTTTGATTAATTATTAGTTCTCATAAATCTATAATTAATCGTTGGTGTTTCATTCATTAATTATATAATTTTATGTTTAAAATCTGTTTATCAGAAATATGTCTTTGTTTTACTATGGAACATTTAGAATTTGGTTTGTTTTAGCACTTTCTCGATAGGCTTATATAAATGGTTTTAATATAACTTAGTTATTAAAATTTATTTATATAATGAATAATTACTATTTATCGGTTTAGCGAAAAATCAACAAGGTAACTCAAACATCAACTCAGAACTATATTCAGTATTCTGAATCCAAGCGAGCAATTTTTTTGTTTCTCCGGAATTCGAACGTTCGCTATTCGTTTAACTACTCAGCCAGGGAGACAGTTATAAAAAATCGGTGGAGCGTACAATTTTTACCGTAGCCTTTCCGTGCTTCGGACCATGAATAATAATTACTCCATAAGTATGTCAGACTAGCTTTATGTTATACGTGAATACACATGGTTCAACAGTTAAGAAATACTCTAAGAAATGTGTCAAATTTTAGTTAATTAGTCAAAAAAAATATCGCAAAAATTGTTGCTAAGCTCAAACCTAGAGGACGGCTGCACCAATTCGATTAATTTTTATTTGATTTATTCCTTGAACTCTGAGGATGGTTTTTATGGAGAGAAAAATTGCACGGAAAACCCGGAAAGTACCGGAAAAACGAAAGATATCTTTGGGGTAGCATAGTATTCTATACATTGGTATGTAGGTACTTAAAAGGTATGCTAAGTAAAAAAAAACATATTAAGGCGAAAGGAAGTTCGCGGGGCAATCTTTAAAATAGAATAGAATTTATGTTAGTTATAAATATTCACGTATTTTTTAAACCGTTTTCAAATAAATATTTTTTTATTATTAGCGGAACGCCTCGCCATTATTTCATATTTTGGACATAATTCTAGCCAACTAAATTACTAGTTAATAATTTTGAAATCCAGTAGTCCAGTAGTTA